CCAGGTGTCAGCCCAGTCACTAATTAAATTAAGATCCCGCTGTAGCTGCTGTAATAGGCCTACCCTTTGAGGTTCATTTTATGTTTAAATGCTAAAAAAAACATATTTAGGTGTAATTTTTTGGGGATGGGAACCAATTAATTGGTTTTCCATTATTTCTTAAGGGGAAAATTCTATCACAATTCGAACTTTTTAGGATTCGATCCGGAGGATTAAGTTCTAGTTCTGAGGTACCACTGTACATAACAAATAGGTAGAATTGGCATCTTAATCATATCACCTATCTCCTTTGCATGAGCAGGGACACTACTGCAGTTCTGCTGAATACACACTACCCAAGCAAAGACTTTGTCTTTGGTTCTGGAATTTAGTCAGGTCTGGGGCAGAAGCTGTAGCCTACACCAGTGTGAGCATGACAAACCACGGAGATGACTGCTACTTCTATTTCTACTCAACTTGTACTAAGGTAACATTTTGAACACTCCACAACCACTTTTTTTTTATCATTCTAAAATACATTTTACCACATGCTTTTAAAATATATATTTTTTCTGATTTGATATTGGCTCTGGCTTTATGGAATGTATTTATTTAAATAGAAATTAGAAGCTGGCACATTTGCAGGTTATTATTTTGCAGGGAGATAGTTGCCCTTTTCGTCACTGTGAGGCTGCTATGGGCAGTGAGACTGTCTGTAATCTCTGGCAAGAGAACCGCTGTTTTCGCAAGATTTGTAAGTTTCGTCACATGGAGATCAAGGTAATGCCTTATCTAGATTTTGGCTTTTTATCAATTGAAAGCAATTTATATTACAAATTTTGACCAAATTAGGTCTGGTGTATTTTCTTTTTCCATTAAAAAAAGGGATTCCTTCCTCTAATAAAAACTACAAGAACTACTTGTGTATAATAGATGTTTATATTCAAAAAACTTTGAGGATGTTAGTGGAATATGTCTAATTACACTGTTGCAGTTTTATTTTCGCCTTTCCATTTCAGAAAAAACGCAGTGAGATTCCTTGCTATTGGGAGAATCAGCCAGCCGGCTGCCAAAAGCCCCACTGCGCCTTTCACCATGAGAAGCCTCGTTTTATTGATGGGGTTTATGTTCCACCTAGTAAAGGTGAGGTCTCTTAAAATAAGTTCTACTGGCATTATATTTTTAACAGAATTAGTTTAGCGACCAGTGACATATCTCTTTGTGTGTCACAGTCCCAATCTTAAGAAAGGAGGGGGGAGAAGAGGCCCTCTTGATTGACCCACTGCCTCCAGCTCCTGCTCCTATAGCCAGCCCTGCTAACCCTCAGCTTCGTGGAGTGATCAAGACTGAAACCTTGGAAAATGTACCAAGTCCTACTCACCCTCCAGTGGTCATAAACACTGTGGATGATGAGGATGAGGACGAGGATGGTATTGCTTAATTCTCTACAGTACACTAATTTTGTGAAGAATGTGTTTTGCTGTGTACTTTCATGTGTATGTGTGGTCTCCATTTATTTTTCACTTATTTTTATGATGTCATTCTATAGATCAGTTTTCAGAGGAAGGCGATGATCATAAGGCAGGATCAGATGCATTGAGAATTGTCTCATCCAGGAAGTTAAGTAATAATCAAGGTATATTGCCCCATCTGTGCAATGTAGTTTTTATCATTTCTGTGAAATGTCTGGAATTAAAATCCCTTTTTTCCTTCTAACCAGGTGATTCCTTGAATTTTGGCATTAAAACACTCGAGGAAATCAGATTAAGGAAAGCACTGAAGGCAAATTTGAAGAAATCTGGTATGAATACAGAAACTTTATTTTACTGTTGATGAGTATTACTCCATTGTTTAATGCTAAGCTTTAAAGAAAAGAGCAAGGTATTGGATGCATAGGTGCATTTCATGTATGCTATAACTTTTGTCTTCATATAGGACAGCTTTCTGTCCAGGCCTACAGCAACAATGGAATGAATGTAGAGAAGGAGAACATCAGAGCTTCCCTGACATCAGCAATACTCACAGCCAAAGAGGGTATATATTAAAATCATACACCTATGTGACCTACCTATGTAGCATTCATATAGCAAGTAACATTTTCTTAGTCTTGGCTCCATTACTATTACAGTGTTATGGGCACAGATTGTTACCTGGGTAGCCTGGGTTTATTGCAGGGCTGTGGAGTCGGTAGATAAATGCTCCGACTCCGACTCCTCAGTTTCTAAATCTTCTGACTCCCCAGTTTCTAAATCTTCCGACTCCCCGACTCCGACTCCTCTGTATGTATATAGCTTGCCGAAAATCTCGACCACCGCCCCCATCCAAAGTAATGTGATGCCTCTGTCTGCTGCAGTGGCTGTCTCCTCTGTCAGCCAGCCGGAAGTTTAGTGCATTGTGTCACTCACCG